AAAACAAAACAAAAAAAGAAAATCCACACTCAAACTCACCATTTCATGCCAAAAATAAAATAAAACAATGCCAAGGTCTTCGTTCTCTCTCTCCCAAACCAGCTTCCTCCCCAAACCAGCCGGCGCCCCCCTGTTTGTCAGCACCGGCAATCATGCGCCTACACCCTCCTCTGCGCCTCTGCACCCCCAACTCTCTGCACCCCCTACGCCTCCCTTGCTGCACACTAAATCCTGCTGCCTACGCCCCTGCTTGCCTGCATCTCGCCTGCACCGATCCTGCTCTGCGCCTCCTGCTGCCAGCGCCTGCACTCTCCTCCCGAACCAGCCCAGATTGTCTGCACGAACCAGCGCCCCCTGCTCAGCGCCCCTAGCTCCTGCGCCCTAGCTCCTGCCCCGGCCTTGCTTTCTGCACCAGTCTTGCTCTGCGCCAACCCCTTGCCCTGCACCAAATCCCTTGCCCTGCACCAAATCTCCTGCACTCTGCGCACCGGCAATCATGCCTCCTGCACGCCTACACGCCCTACCCCCTGCGCGCCTGCAACCTCCTCTGCCCGAGCCCAGATCTGCACTCATCACCCCTCCTCTACCCGAGCTGATCTGCACTCATCACCTATGCCCCAATCGTGCAATCCCGGCTGCAACGCAATCCTGCAACTCGATCTTGTACCTGCTCTGGTTGTCCGATTCTCCTTGGCACCTTATCTCGTTTTTCAGCAAGATGAAGCTCGGTGCTTTGCTTCGGTTTGTTTTTGAAGGTGTTGTGGTGTTGACAAAGGAGAACATTTTTTGGAGGTCGACGGTGATTGAAAAGAGGCTTATTTTTCTGTGTCTGTTTCTTGCTTGCTTTAGGTAATCTCCTGAACAGAGGGATTTTTGGGGAAAGATAGTGAAGGAGACGAACGGAGCTCGGTCCCGTGGGTGGGATCCCTCCCTTCCGATCTGGATCTATCTCCTCCTAAAAATTTCGCCTTGGGTGTTTATGTTATTTTCTGTTGATTTTGTTTAGAACTGTGTTTAAGTTTGTATGTGTTTCCTTGGAAAATGAATAAAAAAAAATCAAGAAAAATTGTTCAGTTCATTTTATCTGATGAACGTTTTTTTTGTGTTGGTGAATGAGATTTTTTTTTTAATGATGAATGTGTTTTTCTTTTTGAAATGGAAACTGATGAATCCTAATTGCAAGTTTTGTTTTTTGTGTTTGATGTGTTTTTGTTTATTTTAAGCAGCGGGTTGTGTTTTTGGGTTGGGTCAACCCGACCCAATCCAATAAAAAAAAAAAACTAAAAAGGTTAAAAAGTAAAAAAAAAATCTAAAGTTATCTCTTTTATTTCAACTTTCATGTTTAAGCAGTTTGTCTAGAAGTTTCAAATCTTTTCAAATCAGTCTTTTATTTTTATTTTAATCAAATCAGTCCATTTAATTTTTATTTGTGCTTATTGTGCGTACATGTCTTTTATTTTGTCCATTTTAGTCCAAAAATTAAAAAAAATGTTTCAATTTAGTTTATCCTTTTTAAGTTTCCCTATTAAAACTTAAACGTAAAGATAGTAAATAAGTTGAATTAAAACTTCAATCTTAAAGTATGCAACCGTGTTTAAACGGAGGATTGTGAGGCGCACGTATACCCTTCTTCACTCCTAACCGAACCCTCGAATCTCGATATCTGTGCAGACCCGTTTTAGGTGATTTATCCCACCTTATAATTTGGATGAGTGGCGACTCCCCTTTTCTTTTATATTTTTCACACTTAATAATGATAAATCTTGATTTTCAATTTATTTTGAAAAAAAATCTTAAGTAGTCGTTAACAATGGCAAACCAATAGTTTTATTGATATGCAGCAGACAAAAAATTTTAGAAATATGGCAAATAATAAATAGTGAAATGCATTCCCCAAATATGAAAAAGTAAGATAACTAAGGGAGATACATATGCATTTTTTAGATGTAACAAAAGAAACCATAAGTTAAACAAATCAACATTACACTGAAGCTAAAATAGTAGCACATAACATAAATCCAGAAAACATCAAAACCAACCTTACGATAGAAGCTGGGTAAGAAATCAATAAAATGCAATAAATCAAAGTAAATTAAGGGGGAGAAAAAAGAGCAAAACTTACCTGGATGAGATCGAACTCGATTTGGGTTTGATCGACCTTGACAAACTTGGCGTCTTAGGCCTTGAGCGTCCACAGAAGCAACACGATCATCAGACTTGGGAGGCTAAACACTATGATGGAAGGGATCGGGCGATGATTTTGGAAGTTAGGTGGCATTTGACAATCGAAGATAAAGACTAATGCCAAGCCATGGACTTTGTAGATACTTAGGTTTAAGAGATAGATAAGATGATTTGGGTTTCGATTTGTTTCCTTATTGAGAGGTCACGAGACATGTTCAATAGATTGGAGAAGTAGGTGGCATGAAAACACTCGACGGCTGTGGGTTCCAACATCGAAATGGTTCGGCAGCCATGGCTTCATTGAGAAGGAGGTCCGGTGGCGATGATGAAGAAATGGGATTTCAATTTCTTTTTACTGGAGAAGAAGGTGGCATAAAAACACCTGGCGACAGTGGGTTTCAACATGGAAATGGTTCAGCAACCATGGCTTCATCAATAAGGAGGTCCGGTAGCGATGATGAAGAGATGGGATTTCAATTTTCTTTTGGGGAGAAGAAACTGGAGTTTATCTAGGCATTCTAACTTTAAAA